CCAGAACCACAGAAATATACGTAAGGCATCTTATGTGAGTCTAGGTGTTTGGTTACTGGCTCTGATTCTCAGTGCTCCATACTTTGTCTTCAGGGATACTTTTACGTATAGTGATGACACCACCCTCTGCTTCAACAACTTTGTTCTTTCTGATGATTCTGAAACAGGAAAGTTTCGACATCAGGCCATGGCCATCACCAACTTCCTCCTGGGATTTGTTGTTCCCTTCACTGTCATTGTCTCCTGTTACACTGTGATAATCCATCGTCTCAGGAGGAACCGCAACCTGGCCAGCAAATCGAGTCGCCCCTTTAAGATCATCGCTGCTGTTATCACCACTTTTTTCCTGTGCTGGACTCCTTTTCACATCATGCGTCTATTAGAGTTGGATCATCACACGCGTTCTAAAACATCCGGCTATGTCCTCTCTATTGGTCTGCCTATAACCACCAGCTTGGCCTTTCTCAACAGTTGTCTGAACCCACTGCTGTATGTGTTCATGGGCCAAGATTTTAAGGACTTAGTTCGCAAATCCATCCTGAAAATATTGGAGACTGCCTTCCAGGAAGAGGTTTCTCACTCATATACTCACACAAACTTAACGGTCACCAGTCGGAGTAAAGACATGTCAGTTTCAGATGTTCAGGTATAAGGTTGTTCACGACATGAATAAACAAATACTGTAACTGTATACAGGAAATAATTTTCATACAAATGTAGCATTTTTTAACAGCTTTCCCATTATGTCCTGTTCTTCTGATGAGTTCCATTAAGTAACACTTATAATAAATGTGTTTTTATTTGTTTCATTTTTTCNCTTTCCAAGAGACTTGAGCTGAAGCCTCAGTATCAGTTTATGCTTTCGATGCAGGAAGTGGTGAATCTGTAGTATCTTATATTTATCTTTTATTAAATGTGCTATTTTGAAACAGATGTATATTTTAATCTCTTGATTCGTGTGGAAAAATTCTTTCAAAATCTTATTCTCACATAAATTGTAGTTGTAACATTCGTGGCTACCTTTGTATGAAACATATTTGAAACTGATAAC